AAGGGCTTTATCTATGTAAAATATGTTTTTTTTTTGTTTTTTTTTCGTCAGTGGAAAGTGTCATGATGCCATTTCTAACCTTAGGTCCCTGGGCTGGACCCGGAAAGAAATGTGTACACGCCAGAAATCAAAGCAAATAAAAAAAAATTTTAATAATAGAATAAATATCCAGAAACAATTTATCATCATGTATCAGGTTGCGCGGTATTGGCACCCAGTGAATTATAAAACACGACACAACAGAGTGGGCCAATATTTGCACACTGAAATATTTGCAACACTTACGGAAAAAATGTAACTAAGGTCCAACCTGCATCATCTTCATTCGACCGAAATCACGATCATGCGAAAGATCTTTTCTTTAGCTGTATATTATGTGTTACGCCATACAATTTTCGAATGGCTTTCTCCTAGACCGGTTGCCACACAATTCTGTCCTGCTATTTATCCGTAGCTGGAGGGGGGAAGAAGAATAGGATTTATACCTTTCCCAAGGGTATGAGCACATAAATGAATATAACTGATCCGACTGAAATTCCAATTCTCCGATTCCTCAATCCGAGCCGCTATCTATTACTCCACCATGATTCTCTTCAATACTTGCAGAAAATGTAAGTTTACTCTGTGGGTGTTAAAGAATCATGGCTGAGTTTACCTGAGTTTACCTGAGTAGGCGTCTACGCACCCCTAACAGATTCGGATACGAGCGCCGAGACAGCCGTTATGAAAACTTTACAAACGTTTTGCTAATATAGGGTGACCCCCACTAAAAAAAAAACGGGAATTTTTTAAGTGCGTATTGCCAGACATGAGCAAGTGGCAACACTGCGAGACAGTGACCTTGAGTAAGTAAACATTTCGCCATTTAGAATTCAAGATGAAATTCACAGTATCCCAGCTGAGATGTTGCAGCAGTCAATGAGGAATCTCAACAGCAGATTTCAAGAATGTATTCGTACAGGAGGACGCCATCTACAGGACGTAATTTTTAAAAAAATGAAAATTCCATCATTGTTTCTTAAATGGCATGTTTTAAGGTTTCAATTACTATGAATAAAATATTTTTCTTCCATCACTCTTGGTTTTAATGGATTGTTAAAAAGTTCCCGTTTTTTTTTTGGGGGGGGGGGTTTACCCTGTACTAATTTTAATGCTAAATACGTGATTTTCACAATAACATATGGCATAAAATAAAGGTGCAGATAGATACAAATCGAACGATGGAATGAACAGTTGAAGAATAGCAGCTATGAACACTGTGACAGAAACGATTTGTTTTACGTCGATATGAACAGAATAATTATATAGCTGGACGTGTAAACATAAAAAAAGATTATATAGGTGGATGTGTAAACATAACAAAGATTATATAGCTGGACGTGTAAACATAAAAAAGATTATATAGCTGGATGTGTAAACATAAAACGACACATATAAAATAGATTTAATTGACATGTTTACGTGTTTATAAATAAAAGCGCGCGGATATAGAAATACTTGGGTTGGTGTCCAGGCGGGGCCCCAAAAACTTTTATGAGGTATCCGTCTAGGCCAGCGTTTCTGAACCTTTCCACCCTTGCGTAACCCTTAAAATAAATTACATGTCTCAAAGAACCCCGATGCAAAAACAAAATTATATACCATATCTTTTTCATTTTATTTTTCGTCGTAGTTCACATGGTAAATATCATAGTATATATTTTAGAATAACTGGTTTAAGGAAAAATTAATACTTCTTTGTCAAATTTTTCGGTAATACTAAATAAAATTCATACTGTTCTTTTATTATACTTCATCAGGGAGTTTTTATTCACCCCGCCACCAAAATTCTAAGTTCAAACGTAAAAAAATAAACATAAGTAATCAATATAATATACCTAAATGCAGGCAGAACAAAAACAGATAATTGCTGAATCAGTTTTTTTTAAAAAAATTATCGTTTACTGGCAATGTTGAAAAGTCATAAGCCAAATCAAGACAAAATGTCCTGTGAACCAATAAATAGGCTAAGAAAATGTTACTTTCAGAGCCATTTGATAATGTGAAGCCTGTGCCTGTCTTTTGTTACACAAATCCTTAATTCGAGGTCGAACTTTAGATAAACACACACGGATTTCATTCTCAATTGAGAGGAGACAATTTCTGTCATTGCTCTTGATACTTGTTAAATAAGAAAAGGCTTGCTCACACATATAAGACGTTGAAAACTGCAACAATATATTAATGGCTTTCTTGTGTATAGTAGGAAACTCTTCTTTCACAGAAATCCAGAACTTGTCCAGAGAGAGGTCTGTAAATCTTATCTTGAGTGTAAGATCACACTACAGCTCACAAATTCGTCCTTTTCTTTTAATGTCAGATTCTCAGGATGACCAGCAGATTCAGAGAATGGATCCCGCGCCAATCATAAACCTGTACTGAAAGAGAGGGACAATAATTTTCAGTTCTGTTAATACAGTTCCTCCAGATGAGATACAATAGGACTTCAAGTTTTCTAATAACCCTCTTGACTATTAAGCCCCAGAAGTTGCAAAAACAACCTCCTTTTGCAACATGGTTTTTCCACAAATTATATTATTTTTATAGCATAATAGGTTAGATAGGATGATGTCTATATTACAAATTTACAATATTACAATAACCAAGAATATACTGTGTGTGTTAAATAATATTACGTATATGAAATTAAATAATAATAACCCTTGGGGACCTTTTGCGGAACCTTAGGGTTCCGGGAAACGCCGGTTGAGAAACCTTGGTCTAGGAGAAGGAAAACGTAACATACGTCCCTGTGCTAATCCAGATGTTTTGCATCTGTTTGTCTACGTAATTTTTAGCAGTGTTGGTGTGAGTCGTTGCTGTGTTGTGCAAGCCGTACACAATTATAATACCAGCACAGGCATTGTTGACATTTATATACAGGTCACATAATGGGTAGCGCTTGGAACACGAAATCGGAGGGCTGGGTTCGAATACTAGTCGAGTTAGTTACATTCAATTACGCGCAGATACCCTTCAGAAAGGTATGACTACATCTCGTCCGCCTCACCGGCTATGTTTGAAATAACAGGGTAGACAAGGCTCTTTAGCCGTGTTTGGCAACCAGCCTATGTGAAGGTCAGTTCTGAATTCAAAATCGTAGTTACAGATTTAACTTGTTAGAAATGGTCTTACTGGTAACGAGTCCACGGCCATCTTGTATGTATTTCTACTTACTGAAATAAACGCACATTCAACAAAATATAAGCAAAATTTATATATATATATATATATATATATATATATATATATACATTGTGTATATGTATAATAGATATCAACTTACTCGAATTATATACATATATAAAGAGGTAGAATCAATAGAAAATAGTTTTGATGTATAAATAAAATGAGTGACAGAAAGATCGATAATTCAATAGACTGATCGTATATACGTAAGACAGATAGCGGAGCACGCAGACTGATCGACAGATCGATATATTCGGAAAGAGAGATTTAGGAGGGAGTAGTAACACAGTGTATTAATTGATTGATCGATCAGTGCGTGCTGGAAATCAAGTTGGGTAAATCGATAGAATGAAACACATTTGAAAAAAAGTAACAAACGAATGAATTTGTGGGGAGAGAAAGTTAAGATTATTTTAATATAAAAAAAATCAATAAAATATATTAAAATAAATTAAAATAAAGACTAGCGTTAGAAATGAGAGCAAGGAGAGAGAGGCAGAATGTGAAAGACAGAAGAGGGAGAGAGTGAGTACAGGTGGAAAGAGAGAAAAAAGAGTGTGTGTGTGTGAGAGAGAGAGAGAGAGAGAGAGAGATGAAAACGTGAGGTGCAGAGGGGAAGAGAGATGGAAGTTGAGAGAAAGAGATAACATAGGGAGAGGAAGAGAAGAGAAACGAGTGTAATAGAATGGAACGAAAAGAAGCGCCATAAAGATCGAGCGAGAGGAAGAGAGAAGGTAAGAGAAAGAAGCGAGAGAGGGGGAAAAATGGCGAGTGAGATAAGAGTGAGAGTGAAAGAGAAGAATGAGAAATGTTGATAGGGAGGTAGACAGAGAAAGAGTGATGATTTGCACATACACACACGCACATATAAATATATATGAATAAAATTAAATCATATATATATATATATATATATATATATATATATATATATATATATTTCATGTCAAACTTAGTATAAAGATAACGGAAAATGAATAGAAACGGGAGTCAAATGCTGAATTCTCCTGAAGCGTGTACTGAACAATTGCAGCAATTAAAAAACATAACTCTATTTAAGTTGAGGTGCTAAGTATAACAGCAGCTAGCTAAGGACAAATTTCACTTGTTTATATATATATATATATATATATATATATATATATATATATATATTTCATTGAATACGACAGACAAGGTGCTTTGATTAATGTTTTTTGCAATTTTTCCATACGGATTACCAAATTTTATCATTAGCTATCTATTTCTGTCTCTGTCTCTGTCTGTCTGTCTGTCTGTCTGTCTGTCTGTCTCTCTCTCTCTCTCTCTCTATATATATATATATATATATATATATATATATATAGATATAGATATATTTTGAACAATAAAAAAATATTAAAAAATTAAAATCTTCAGACACACTGAGTTGTAGATTAATATTCTTTCGTTTTTTTATTATTATTATTATTTCATTTAGATTCCTCGACTAGTTTCGGCCCCAAAATGGCCATCATCAGGAGAAGAAATATTTCTGCTTGCTGGTAGCAGTAAACTACAGAAATGAATAAAGGATGGAGAATATATATATATATATATATATATATATATATATATATATATATATATATATATATATATATATATATATATAGATAGATAGATAGATAGATAGATAGATAGATAGATAGATAGATAGATAGATAGATATAGACAGAGAGAGAGGAGATTCGAGAAAAGTGAGAATCAGAAAAATATATTAGGAGAGAATATGAGAAAAAAGAGCGAAAAGTCTATAGAGAAGCAGAGAGAGAGAGAGAGAGAGAGAGAGAGAGAGAGAGAGAGAGAGAGAGAAAAGTGTTAAGAAAAAAGCGTAGAGAAAGACAGGGTGAGAAGAAAAATCGGAAGGAGAGAGATGAGTACTGGAATGAGGAAGTGAGTGTATATGTTAAAGGAATGAGAGAGTAAGGAAAAAGGGAGAGATTACCGAGAGAGTGAAATAGAGGAGTAAGACAGGGGATACAGTAGGAAAGAGGAGAAGAAGAAATCGGAGAAAGTGAGTAGAAAGAGAAAGATAACAAAAAGGACAGAAAGAAAGAATAAGATAATAAAATAAATGTTCGAATATAGTAAAAGGATCAAAAAAAGAAAGAAAGAAAGAAAGAAATCTAAACAAAAAAAAGAAAGAAAGAAAGAAGATTAAAAGAATAAAGAATGAGGGAATGAAATATAACTTAAGTTTTAATGATTAAATGAATGACTAAATGAATCAGATTAGTTTTTATGAATGAAAGAATGATAGAACGAATGAATTATGGAACGAAGGAATAATGCACAATGAAAAAAAAAGAACATTTTAAAATATGAGTGCAGATAAATAACAGTTTAGAAATTCTGAAAGAAAAAAAAACAATTGAAATAAAAAAGAAAGATTAACGGACTGAATGAAAAAAATACACAGTGAAATAAAAAATAATTTAATCAAGAAAAACAAATTGAAAGAATGAATGAATCTAAAAATGAACTGTAAATAAAAATAATCTAAAGAAAATTATTAAAATTTAAAATAAAATGATGGCAAGTGAAAGAAGAAAATTAAGAAGAAAAAGAAAGAAAGAAAAAGAATAAGAAATGAATGAATAAAAAAAATTCACATAATAAATTCTAAATTTAAAAGAGAAGAAGAAAAAATGAGAAAGATAGCAAAAGATAAAAAAAAACCGTTAAAAACAAAGAAAAACGTCCGCCTTTAGACCGGCCCAAAATTAGTCACTATTTCGGGTCAAACTTGAACAAGGTCACCCCAACAGATGAAACACTGACAAAAAACTGAATCGGATTAAGTGATTTTTTAAAAAAAGATTTATCAAGATTTTGTGGTTTATTTAAACCTGAAACATATCGTGAAATATAGGAAGACAATTAAAAAATCAAGAGAAAACAAAATGAAAACAAGAGGGAATATGAAAAACAGAAAGAAAAAACGGAAAGAAAAATAAAGAGAGAAAAGAAAAACAGAAAAAAAAGAAAAGAAAAAAAGAAAGAAAACAAAAGAGAAAAAGAAAAAAGAAAGAAAACAAAAGAGAGGAAGAAAAAAAGAAAAAACGAAAAGAGAGTAAAAGAAAAAAAGAAAGAAAAGAAAAGAGAAAAAGAAATTAAGAAAGAAAAGAAAAGAGAGGAAGAAAAAAAACAAAAGAGAGAAAAGAAAAACAGAAAGAAAAGAAAAGAGAAAAAGAAAGAAAACAAAAGAGAGGAAGAAAAAAAGAAAAACGAAAAGAAAACAAAAAAGAGAAAAAAAGAAAAGAACAAAAGAGTAAAAGAAAAAAAAGGAAAGAAAACAACAGAAAGTAAGAAAAAACAAAGACAACGAAAACATAAAAAAAAAGAAAGAAAAAAGAGAGCAGGGAAAATTGGAAACTAAAAGAAAGTAGAGAAAAAAACAAAAAAAAAACGATTGAGTAAAATAAGAAAGAAAACAAAAAGGAGAAAGAAAAAACAAAAACAAAAAGCGACCAAAAGAGATTAAGAAAAAACGACAAATAAAAAAAAAAGAAAGAAGAAAATCTGATGATTACAATAATTGGCTATAATACATGAGAAAGGAAATAAAATCATCCGAAAGAGAGACATCGAATAAATGACATTAAAAAGAAAACAAAATAAAAACACCAGCTAAGAAAAAAGAACCCAGAAAGAAAAAATAAAGAAAAACAGTGAAAACTGCAGAAATCGAAAATCCCAAAATTAAATAAATAAATATATCGAAGCAAATTAAATAACACTTAAGGATGTTTACCGAAAGACACACACTATAGGAAATAAAACAAGCGTAGAATCAGCGACCGCAAAGGAAAAAGAAGAGCGAAAATAAATTGTAGATAGTTTGATCGACCTGGCGTTCTACCAGTGCAGGTAGCCATGACACAATATCGACAAAGTGGGTAAAATGCTCGGATCAAGTATCAGTCAGAGGTACATGTCACCTACTCCGCCATGATTATTAGAACTACTCTCCTTAACCCTGTCAGTTTCCACTGTTCGCAAACCCTGGGCAGTGAAAACGAAACCGAAAGTGAAAGTAGGCGATGTGAATCACTGAATACTGCATGTGGTATCAAGGCTTGAAATGGTCACGTCCACGTTATGCAGCTTTTCTTCCGCTCTATATGATTATCGATCATTTTGACATCAACTATAAAGCGGTTTGACAAGATATGTAGCTCAAACGTTGTACTATTAAGCTATCATATGCTCATCATATATATATATATATATATATATATATATATATATATATATATATATATATATATATATATATATATATATGCATTTCAATGAATACGACAGAAAACGTGCTTTTATTTAGTTTTTTATACAATTTCTCATGCGATCTAATAATTTTTTTCTTTGCGGATGATAAATTATATAAAAACTGTCCGAATGTTCTTTTTATCCGGGCGCTTTCGGCTATACATTTAGCCATTTTCAAGGATTAAATATTTTAACTGTCAAATAATAAATAGTCTGTTGTATGTATGTTTTATAAAATGTTTTCATTTTTCAAAACACGGTCAAGATAGTGTGTCCATGTTCAAAGTTAATATTATTAAGGGTTGTTTATTTTGTTTTTATTAATAAGGCTTCCATGATTTTTAGCCTTAAAAACAAAAAAATATTAATCGCATGAGAAATTGTATGCAAAAAATAAATAAAAACACCTTGTCTCTGGCATTCATTGAAACGTGCATGAAAGAAGGATTGCTGCCTAAACATACACACACACACACACACATATATATATATTATATAAAGAAATAATCATACATAGAATCAATCAGCAATATTAATGGGATTAATGGCGAAATCACTTCGCTAGTAGAACATAATGTATGCATTAAAATACTGTTAATCCACTGAATGATGTGATCCTCATTTATAAAACTGTTGTCAGATGTTTCTAGTGCATATTTTTTAAAGTTAAGCAAGTACTTTCGATGTCTCCATCCTCAGGCTGTAATTTTTTTCCTTTGTGTTTTTTTTTTAAGAATGTGCTATTTATTGACGGTTCTACAATCTCGGAACATATATAGGGCGGCCTGATGATTGCGTCCAGAATGCAACAGCGTGTTGCCTCTGGGTGTTGACTTCAATGTTCACTTTTATATTTATATTTACATACGCTCTATCTCTGATGTAGAGCACTTTATCCCATAAATATAGCACACCTTAAAACTATATTTCTTCACACACACACACACACACACACACACACACACACACACACACACACACATATATATATATATATATATATATATATATGAGAAAGATCAAGGAATTTAAATAAAAGATTATATGTAAAGAAAAGGGATATTATACAAAATACCGCACCCAGTGCATTATTTCCTGTCAGGAATATGTCTGACTATAAAGTTGATTTAAAAAAAAAATCAACTCTAATTAAAAAGAAAGCAATTTGCTAAGACGAAAATGGAGAGAAATTTTGATTATCTACATGAGATACCGATTAACAAAAGTGATAAAAACACAAACAAAGAGAAAATAGATGAAACCGGTTAAAATATATACTATTATATAATAATAATAATAATTTCAAAGTTTAAAAATTCTGCACCTTCCATTGTGCGCTTACGTAGTCGCATGGACATCAATATCACTTTAGTCCGATCAAGTCGTAAACGACGAAACGCGTCATACGAAAATATTTTCCCTATCGTCATAGATTTTCATAAACACACAGACACATACCCATGCACACACACACACACACACTTGACACACAGTTACCACTAGGGGTTGACATTCGACTCCATTTTTATATTTACAGACATTCGATTCCTGATGTTCAGCACTTTTAATCCTAACTGCAGAGTACCATAAAAGTATATTTTTTTCATTTATATTTATATATATATATATATATATATATATATATATATATATATATATATATACACACACACACACACACATATATATATATATTACACACACACACACACACACACACATATATATATATATATATATATATATATATATATATATATATATATATATATATATATCGGCTCCCATTGAAGAATCGGAGAGCCGAGTTCGAATTCCAGTCGAATCAATTACATTCACTTACGTGCTAATACCCTTGGGAAAGGTATTAGTCCTCTTCTCCTTCGAGCTATGAGTAAACAACAGGACAGACTGGGTTTTATAGCCATGGCAACTGGTCTAGGAGAAGGATAACCTGCGGAGCGTCGTTTGGGGACCCTGTGGCACATAATGGACCATGTCCCTGTATTCGGCCATTCAAAAAGTGTGTCGGTTCTGCACAAAGCCTTCCCCACTATAATCGAATCATATGTGCTGGTGACTGGGCTGTCGGTTCCTACGAACTGAGCTGATTGACCCTCATACGTCTAATACGACGGGAGAGTTCACCACATATATATATATATATGTATATGTATGTTTCATTGTCAAGGTACTGCTATTAAGCTTTTTATTTAATTTTTCTTGTGTTCGTATAAGTGTTTTCTTTTCTGCACACGGAGTGTGTAGAAACTGTCCAAATTTTCTTGTAACTCCGAGCTCTGTCTAAGTACACGCTATATATATATATATATATATATATATATATATATATATATATATATATATATACAATACCGTGTGTAACAGCAAAATTGTCGAAATCGTGTAACAGTATGAGATAATTGACCATCCCACAAAATGTTTAATATCTAAAATACACTAAACTAATTCAATTTCTCTATTCCAGTATTTCAGATAAGACGTTTAGCCATCTTGACACTATTTGTCGTAAAAATGAAAAACTGAAAAACCCTTTGAGTTATTCAGCTAGAAAAAGAACAGATTAAAATCGTTTTGTGTCAGCCCCACCCTGTCTTCCCAACTAAGCAATGGTGAGAGGAAAAAGCTCATTAAAGCCTTCAGTAATGATACCAACATTCATACTCTGGCTTCAAAGTCCAGTCAAGAACCATCAAGAGAACGGTGAATAAGTTGAGAGGAAAACTGGATCAGGAGGTCACAACATCGTGAGAGATCATCATTTCAACTTAGAGCTAAATATATTTGTATTGTACAAAGTAGAGTCCAATAGGGTTATAAAAACCTCGGGGAATTCCAGTAGGATATCTTTAATCATTTCTAAGATTCAACGGTTTCAATCTTAATCTAACGATTGGACAATTTTGCTGTTACACGGTTTGGACAATTTTAACTTGGAATATATAATAATATATGTATTTGGACAATTTACAACTGGTACACACACATATATATATATATATATATATATATATATATATATATATATATATATATATATATGTAAAAAATTGATTTTCGTATGATGCATTTCGTCCTTTATGACAAGTTCCAAGGTACAAAACGAGCCACGCGAAATCTTTTTCCACCTTCTCATACTTCTTACCTCTGAAATTGTTCTTGATATATAAAACTATATATCATTATCCCATATATATATATATATATATATATATATATATATATATATATATATATATATAAAAATTTTTAATAATGTTCACCCAATTGAAGGTCCAAGAGCCACTCAATGTAGGAGCTTCTCGTTGATTGTTTTCGATTTTGTCGACTGCACATTATAGTAGAGTCAGTTGAACACCGTCTGTGAGAAAAAAAGAGCACAATGACCCAATTCACATTGTACGATCACTGAAGTTCAGCAAAGTTAAGTCTGGTCGATACCCAGATGGGTGACAGCTTCGGAATACCAGTGAGCTTGGTTGTGCGGGTGGTGTAATGCGAAACGGATCAGTATTGTCAATTGGAGAGCAGAGTTCAAATTTCAGTTGTGTTCCTTATATTCACCTATGCGCAAATTCCCTAGGCAAAGGCATGAATCCACATCTGCTACCCCCAGCTCTGGGTTAATTAGGAATACTTGCATAACTACATCATTAGTATCTCGAAAACATTCCTAAAATATCAAAAATATTTTATGGCTTTAAATAACCTTATAAATGTTGATAAGCCGTAAAGAAACAAATCAATCTATTTTATTGTTGAACATTCTGACAACAGAAGAAAATACATGATGAAAAATGGGATGATCAGACCAACCCGTTATATTAATTGTCATAGACTGTCGCGAGACAAGAGATTCCATATTTTAGACGAATGAATGCTCACAAATTCTTGTCTTGCTAAGCAATGCTCACCACCCGCTGCTGATTTGATTTACATAATTTATCTTCTTTTAATTGATAGCAAAACTCAAAAACGGGATAAAAATTGTAGTTTCCGTCATTAAAAATCAACCGATTGGAAATAATCGTATTTTTCCGAGTTCCTTTCTTTTTTATTTAAACAGAGATATATTTTATATGAAGTTCTATCTAAGAAAACAAAATAGAGATACTCGATTCATGTCCTTTCCGAGAGAAGCATCTTAAAACACACAGCAGTGGGAGGAGGGGGACGAAACGAAGTCAAGGTGACCATTTAAAAAGTGTGGGATATTAATGTCGTTTGATGAGCAGGTAAAGTAGCGACAGTCGATACAGAATTTGTCAAATACTGCCAAACATGACAGCAAGGGATAGCAACATAACCCGACAACGGTTACCGGTTTCTTAGAATCTGAAAAACCTAAAGAACTACAGACCCACATTCTACGAGAGCGAAAGATTGAAAATGGAGTCGATAATCACTACAAAAGATGATCTCGGTACCAAAGTTGGAACCATTTTTCGATTTAGCATCAAAATGAAATGAGATTAAATGTGTCAAAGACAATCGACATGAAAGTAGGATTTTTGTTAGGATATTTTTTGCGAGAAACGTGACTATCCAAGATATCGTCATAAGAATGTGCTTGGGGGTAACGAAC